TGTAAACACAATCAGGTTAAGGACATGTTACATCACCTTGTATTATCAGTTTAATTAGTAAATATGTCAATATATCTAGGCCTAGTCTAGCGTTATAGACTTCTATACGATACTAGTGTAGTATTTTTCCATGCCATCCTAGTTAGGCCATATAATTTGTTATGTAAATAACTGTCTGATAGGCAAATTGTGTAACAAACGTTGTTTATCTTAATTTGCAGTTCTTTACCTCTCAACGAGGGTTTGTAATGGTTGAAGAATAAACTCATAAAAAAGGCAACAAGGCTTCGACTCTACAAGGACTAAATATGTGTCTTTTGTGCAGTATCTGTACAGTTGATATATTGTATTGCATTGTATTGTATTTTAGGAATGTCTATTCAGTTGAATCCCTGCAGGTAAATGCTCCGTGATTTTCCGCACAGGTAGTTATTAGTACAAGTATCGTGTGACAGCACAAACGATAAGAGAAGTCTCACTGAAACGACATATACCTACATATCAGTTTAAAAAGAAGGCTGTTTTTAGACCCATTGTATGTTTGATAATCTGCCGTGATTGTGAGCGCCTTACAGGTGCCTTAAAATATAAACTTTATTTATTTTACAACAATTGCGAAACAAGTTATGTCAACTTATACTAATCACTCTTGTTGGCTCGGATGTAAGCGCGCGAGGGATCTTGTTGTGGGAGGAAACCGGAGTACCCGGGGAAAACCCACGTGGTCGGGCAGGTGACCCCTTACCTTTTCACGTCCGTTCCGGGAATCGAACCCCGGTCTGCTAGGTGAAAGGAAATAAGGTAATTTGTGCATTTTGTCTGATGTTGATTATCGATTTAAGATCTGTAAACAATTAGAAATGGAAGAATTAGGTTTACAACGTGCATGTTGATGGTAGAGCTCACACGATGTTGATACAAATCATATGTATTCGATATTATGTTTTAGAAGTTCATTTTGTGAAACTTTGTCCGTTTTTGCTGTTAATTATATTTTTGAACTGTCCAAATCAAAATGATAATTTAGTATATCACATCATGTAATAAATGTGAAATATAAAAACTAACCGCTGTGATTACACCCAAATTTTGATATGCTCAATGCACCTTTCAGGCTTAACTTAGTAGTTGTGTGACTGGTAAACAGTTAACTTATCTCGTTGAATCCTGGTGTAATAAGATATGTGACGTAACGTCACAAGTGACGAAGTTTGCTGAATGCCAGCGAAGATGTCGGGGAAAGATACATAGCAGTGTTGCAAGTGAATATGCGTAATAAATAGATGAAGTTCTTCAATGCCATAGGTAGCTGTCAATCACAATTAAATTCCTTCGTAGGTCATCATCTCATTAAGCCAAAATGGATGTCGTGTAGTTTTTCCTTCAACTGCACCTTCAATGAGTATGGCACTTCGAACTGTCGTACCACTTATCCAAAATACTTCGACAAGGCAACTTGCAGACCTAATCTTCCTTCATTGCTAACACTTCTAATTAATCATCCAACCAACCGCCCGTCAAGACAAACATCGTTGGCACCTAAATCATGTTTTGTTAAATCGTCTACAACGACAAAATCTACTGTGAAATCGACAACAGGGCACCATATTTCCTGATTTTGATAGATCACGCTGTTACAGAGGCATGGTTTGGAGATATTTTCCGTGATGGGAATACACATTTGTTGTTAATTTTAGAACTGGTAGAATTGCATATGGAGTCACTGATGTCTGAAGACACTAAAGTCTGCAAAATATCATAATTTTGAACATTAAACTGTTTGATGTACCTAATTCTACGATACAATTATGATAAAAATACGTACTTCGGTATAAGTTATATACATTGCGCTTTGTATTCTTTGTTATAAGAAATTGTTCGAAATAAAAATCATTAGGACACAAAGTAATGGTGAATAAACCATTCTTTTGGATTTGAATGTAAGACCTTTCCATATCTATCGTTATTGGGGTTTTCCAATAGTAAGCAGCAGCCCTTGTCAAACAGACATGGATGTCGTCTACTTCTCCTTGACTGTACCTTCAGTGGCGAAAGCATCAAGAACTGTCGCAACATGGAGCCAATGTGCTCGGACTAGGTGACTGATAAGATTTCCTCCGCGTCATTGTCAGCTGTTCCAATCTCGCATTCAACAACACACTCGCAAGCTATGTCGGAACACTTCTTTGCTAACTACAATCATAAAGTATATATCGAACCGACTAGAGCACGCCCAACTTCAAAGAAACCTCAAATTTTCACCTGATCCAAGAACAATCCATCTTCTGCTTGACCTTCTACAACGCCAACATCTAATGCAAAACCGACTTCATCACACTAAGTTATAACCGTAACCTTACCTCAAACAGTAATGAATAATGCAACCAACACGAATACCATCTAAATCACCTATACCAAAGCGCCATGACGTGACGTCACCTTTACATGTTAGCTTGCTAGTGTGATGAAAATCAACATGTCATACTATGTTATGGGTTCTGTTGTCGTTGTTGTTCTTTTTGGCATCTTTGGCCTTGTGTGTCACTATATAAACCGACGTTATATAACTCTAATTAATCTGCACCGTCATATTTCATGACATAGCTAAGACATTGTAGCTGAGGCACATACCATAGTACACACTAATACTTAATAAGTATATTTCCTTTCTTGGAAATGATATATCTATATTTTTGTAATATGTAGTAACTATAGTACCTATCAGGAGGTACAACCCCGAATAACATATTCTAGATTCACAGATGAAGACTTCAGGGTGGTCATTTCGATGTGTCATAATCTGATGAAAATACAGATCCTGTTTTTCGCTCCGTCGTTCTTCGCATATATAGGATCTGCATTAGCCTTTCAAATTACCATTTAAAGAATCTTTGAAGTGAATGAAAGTGATCAAATAACTTGCATAATCCTATCTTATTTCTGTATTTAGAATCTAAGTCGATTCGTCACATCATGTTTATATACATATTGTGGGGAAATCACTTGCTGTAAATCAGAATTAAAATTAAGACGATTCGTCATGCTTCTGAAGCACAGATGGTGGAAAGGTCACCAGAACTTAACCTTTTGTGGGATAGTGTCATATATCTTATGCAGCGGAGTGGGAATACGGATCTGCATTCTAATCAGATTAGTTCGCAATGAAAGACGAAAATATGTTTTAAAATGTTATCGCGGAAATAACAGAGGATGTCTGTAATTTAGGAAAAAATAAGAATATATGGAATTGAATTATTTCCTGTTTCACATATTCTGACGCCTGTACCATAGTAAAGTACGTTCTAAAAGCACGCCTTTCAAAATATCATCGTCGGAAAAAAAGTTTAATATAAATTACCTTTTAGAAATACAAAAAGGACGTACTCCTATATTATTTAAAAGGTAATTCTTTATGGTAATTCTTAACGATATTCTCCTTCTTTTTAATATATTCAAGTATTCCATTTGTTTGCTTTTATCATTTCAATTTTATCTTTAATGGCAAACATAATAAAATTTGATATAATTGTTTTTATCTTTATTTTGTGTGACAGCTGCAACATATACCTCTGTATTTGGTCAACCTTGGTATCAGATAATCAGAACGTATGAACACAGGTAGACAATTCGATAATTAGCTTTTACAAACCAGTCAATATCTTGTTAATGCATTATTTGGCTCTGTCGATCCTTATTTTACATTAGAGTTTAAATGTGTGCATTTTGCATAATCGTTATTGACTCTTTATCTATAGGGCAAATATTTCAAAAGTATTTAGCAAAGATATTGTTGACACAATACCTCATTCTGATTGCACAATTGAAAAAAGGATGAATCAAAGGGATGAATCAAAGCTATACGAGTTTGTGGAAATACGTTTTAGACTAACTTGTGTGTAATTTTTCTACCGAGATTAGAACCGATTACTATAAGCCAATAGTTTTTCTTATATAAATAGGTATTTAAACTTCCTGGTTGGAACTGTGGAAAAACCTCGGTATATTATATACGACTTGTGTAATACTATAAAGATAGTCTCTTCAGGTGTATAAACGCTGGAAATTTTGTGTGCTTTACAATTTACATTCTTGTTGATATTAATATATATTCATATTAAGTTTTTCTTTTTTTTTTAATTAATATGTGTTAGATATTTAATGCCAAGGTGGTATTTTTAACTGTGGTAAGGCTGATTCATTGCCAGTCAATTTCATTTAATGAAGACTTGACACGATATATAGGCTCTGTTTGTAGATAACACCGTTTGGTATGTATACTAATTAGCACTCTTTGATCTGCGGATATAGGTTTACCCTAGTGTGTAGGGTCTACTGAGGAAGTATTGATAGCTTCCTGGTTGACGCGACTGGTAGGAAGCGTATACTGATCATTCCTAGGCAGAAGCCAATACGCACAACAGGTAACAATAATTAACATTGTGGTAATGTATCTCGATGTTATTAATTACGCTGATGTTTTATGTAAAGATAATCTTATAACATAGCACTGTTAGTCTTTTGTCATGCTTTTAGTTTCAATACTGTAAGTACGAAATATTTACATTACAGAGGTGTTGATAAAATCCGTACTGTTTAATCTATTATTTAAATTTTGATATCAAAACATACATACTTTGATAACTCTAATACCATCTGTATAATGGGTTTGTACGTTTAAGATGAACAATCTTAAAGTATTTCATAATCATCAAACGATAGAATGAACAAAATTTGCGAGAGTGTATATTATTCGTGAATATGCTATGCTACTCTACACTTAAAATGTATAATTACCATTTATTTATAAAACAGAATTGACTAAAAGTTTTCATTTGTGTTTTAGATTTATGTTGCGTGGATTGTTCAGGTATCCACATGTTTCATAGTGTCATGAGTGGAATGTATTTATAAAGACGGAGAGTAACTTTTTAGCAGTCATAATAACCTGTTTTCATTGCTGTCTTTTTTCTTCAGTGAGCAGCAGTTTTTGTCAAACCAACATGGCTGACGTCTGTTTCTCCTTTGACTGTACCTTCAATGATGATGGCACTTCAAACTGTAGCACCACAAAATACTCGCATAAGACAACTTTCCACCCGACTTCCCCGTCATTGCCTACAATTCCTACAACTTCCAGACCAACTTCCCCGTCATTGCCTACAATTCCTACAACTTCCAGACCAACTTCCCCGTCATTGCCTACAATTCCTACAACTTCCAGACCAACTTCAACGCCATTGCTTACAATTCCTACAACTTCCAAACCGACTTCAAGATCAGTGCCTACCATTCCTACCACGCATTCAACGAATAAGCCTAGAAGACAGACATCGCCGACATCTACATCGATGTCATCTTCTGCTAAACCGCCTACAGCGACAAATCACACAGTGACACCAACGTCAGCACCACAGACTTCACAGGAAACGTCAGTAACTACAGCGTCTTCCGATACAACAACCATAATCTTATCGCCGACTGTGGCGCCTACCACAAACGTCAACAATAACTATACGTCACCTCTACCAAACCGGCCAGAAATGACGTCACATTCTCCAGTTAGCTCTGCTGGTAAATCGTCAGTCTACATTCCGTGCTCTGTTGTGGGTTTTGCTGTTGTAGTTTTCCTTCTGGTCACCATTGGACTTGTACGTCGTCATAGGAACCGCAGACGAGGGTATGTAAGTTAGTCGTAACCTGTATGCCACGATTTCATTCATTCTTATTCGAGAGGCAAAATCAGAATGTACACATGCATTTGATATGCATATAAAATTATTATATGCATGAAAACTACGGGATCTATTAAAATATGGGGCAAGTGCATTTCCCCATCTAGATTTTTATATGATCACTTCAGATGTTTGCCTCCAAGGTTTAAACCTTTAGGCCCCTAGCATTACTGATGAGCCCTAGAATTACGAAACAGTTGTATGCTGCAATTTATTTCATAGCTTGGTTCTATTTTATCTCAAACTAATTTTGCATTAAAAGGTGTTATTCACTTGTGTGTCTTTCGCACAATCAGTTCTTAGTACTGTAGTACCATACAACATGTATAACGAAGTTTGTAATAGTAATACACATAGAGTTACTGTTCTTGTCTGCTTTGCAAGTAAATGTATTTGCAAATCTACATCATTTGATAAAGATCGGTTAATGCAATTTGGATATGATATACACAAGTATAGTTCTTTTGCTAGCGGATTAGGTAAATCTTAAAGTACATGAAGCGTAACCTCGTTATCAAAAAGACAGTATTATCATATTCAAATCGATAGATTGATTTGATACAGTCATACGATTGTATTCCATATTGATTGATTGACATAATTCTGGATTGATCTAATTGATTATTTTATTTATAATTTAATTGATTCATTAATTGATTTCATTGAGTTTAAATTGTTTAATGATTTTATGTGTTATGATTTTAATTGATTTGACATCATTTGCCTGATTTATCAACTTGTGTTTTCTTTGTAAACGATGCAGTTTAGAAGAGAGACAACCTTTACAAGATGACCTCGAATATGAAGTTCCTCCATTTGAATTTTTTGAAAATGTAAGTAAATCACTGAATACGTTTCCTAATTCTGTTATCTATGAAAGTCAACCTATATGCCTTCGTTATATCACGGAATATACAAAACACTGATTATGTCTCTGTATCTACCATACTAATATTACAATATATACAAACCACCCTGATTCTGTCTCTGTATCTACCATACTGATATTACAATATATACAAAACACACTGATTATGTCTCTGTATCTACCATACTGATATTACAATATATACAAAACACACTTATTCTTTCTCTGTATCTACCATACTGATATTAAAATATATACTGAATATATACAAACAACACTTATTCTGTCTCTTTATCTACCATACTGATACACAATATATACAAACAACACTGATTCCGTCTCCTTATCTACCATACTGATACACAATATATACAAACAACACTTATTCTGTCTCTTTATCTACCATACTGATACACAATATATACAATCAACACTGATTCTGTCTCTTTATCTACCATACTGATACACAATATATACAAACAACACTTATTCTGTCTCTTTATCTACCATACTGATACACAATATATACAAACAACACTTATTCTGTCTGTATCTACCATACTGATACACAATATATACAAACAACACTTATTCTGTCTCTTTATCTACCATACTGATACACAATATATACAAACAACAATTATTCTGTCTCTTTATCTTCCATATTGATATACAATATGTACAAACCACCCTGATTCTGTCTGTATCTACCATAATGATATACAATATATACAAAACACACTGATTCTGTCTGATTCTGTCTCTGTATCTACCATACTGATATTGTATTTGATTCCATCACCAGTATGTACAGCCAGCTTCACAATCAGAAGATGCAAATTCGCCGTTCAAGGAAATGACAGGAAATGAAGAGATCGAAGATATTGAGGAATATGAAGTTGTTCGTCTTGGTAATAACGATGAGCTTGAAAATTTACCACCAGTAGATACCTGCGATGTCACATTCGACAAAGAGTCTGTCCTAAAACAACGAGAACGGGATTCCAAAAGGGGAAAGGTCATTTGATTTGCCTTAAATTCTGTTGTTGGTGTTTTGTGGAAATCGGCGTCTTGGTGTTTCAGTTTCTGTCTAATTTGTAGTGACGTGCCGGAAATGATTCTGAAAGTTTCGACATTACAATGCGGATGGTTCCTCTTCAATAAAAATAGATAACACCATGGAAAATAATGAATTGAGAAAACAAAATGAAAAACAAAACTCAGCTTGGAATAAAGTCCCGGATGGAACTACGAACTTTGTGATAAAGTAATTCTCTCTCTAAATATGAATCATAGAAAAATAATTGAAACGATGACAATTGCTATAGATGCACTTCTTACATGTGACGCATTTTGTGACAAAAAACAAAAAAAAAAAAAACAAATATATAACTTTATTCATTGCTTACAATCCCGAAACTTTTCATAAAATGTACATATACAGGTGTATAAACCATTGTGTTAATGATGTCTTTTACCAATAATGATTCACCTCTGACCCTGACCTCTGAACTCTGACTCTACTGGTGGAAGGTTAGCAGTTGTGATATTATATTTGTTTACAGGATTACAATGCCAAAATAAGATTAAATACAATGCTTTCATATTTATCATTGTTTCACCTACGCACAGCTTTGTACAAACAACGCATTAAATATTTTCATTATTTAAAAAGGGGTCATCATTGTGCTTGAATTGGTGCAATTTTCACACAAATAACCAGTTTTTCACCGATCAAGAACCAAGTTGAAATATTAGTTTTGGAAGTAATCCAAAAATGTGGACCACCAAGTCGAAATTCACGAATTTAAAATCAGTGTTTAGTGGTGATAATGCATGCACGTTGAATTGTTAAAAATATTTCCAAACTTTTCAGAGTTATACACAGTAGATGGGATAAGCAGCCTTAGTTTAAACTTTTCTTCGCTAGACTGCGCTTGTTAAAATTAAGGCATGTGATGGTCGCCATTTTGATTTGTATTTTCGACCAAAACGACGTTGATTGGTCAATGGTCTTAGATGATGCGTCGGAAAGAATTAGTGAGAAATAGCCTTGGTCTATGCTTTGAAAATCAAATCCAACAGTCACTTTCTTATAGACACAGCGTTTCAAATAACTTGCCCCGAACGGACATGTCGAGCGTCTCCTAGAAACAATTACACATGAACAGTAAACATACAAGCAACTGTAAGTGGAAATCTTCCTATAAACGTACTAGTGACGTCGTCGTGTGGTAGGGTAATACATCGGACTACATTGTCGTGATAGTTAAATAGAGACATCGTATTTTTTTCCGAAAATGTCCCAAAATCGAAATCAAAATAATATGATTGATAGTCCTAACCTATCGCAATTTTTCTCCGAGTGCATTGAGGTACCACAATAACACAATACCTTTTCAAGATTCTTGAAAAACGTATTTGTGTCTAGTAGTTAAGTTTTTCATATTTTTTCGTTTTTGTTATTGTTATATTGAAAATAGATGTATGTGCATTAGTGATGGAAATTTGTCTTCAATATTAGTTGCACATAACATCTCAAAATCCCAAATGTTTTTTAAGCTGGTCCTTGTTATACAAAACAGTCTACAGCTATGGCCTTCGTTGGTGTTGTAAGGGATGCCGCCGTATTTTCGACGTCAAACTTATTGGTAGTCTGTGAGCTGTTTACAGAGGTGTATTGTGGCGGTTAAGAAACGGCAACTCTGGTAGAGATTGTGGTTGTTATCGTATTTTCAAAGCGGCTTGTTATCCAGTCTATACTCAAAAGAAGTACCATAGCAACCAGTAAAACCTGCAATTGATCAAGCGAATCCCGCCGTCTGTTACGCTGTCAAAAAAGTAGTCCACTAGCGAAATTTCTTCAAAACGTCATAACAAGTGTAAAAAAGTGTAAAAGTACAAATATTGATAACCAAGTGATTAAGAATAAAAATAGTCCAAGTTATTATGTTTGGAATCATTTTATATTAGAATCTGTCCAACTTCCGGTCACACGTCAAAGGAATACATCCTTAAAATGCCCAAATGGAAATAATACGTTTGAACGTTTTCGTTTAAGAAGAACTTTGTGAAAATATTGAGGTTTGATTTTACAAGGTTTTAGTATTTAAATAAACGTTTAAATTGTGTATTTAGTTGATGGTATTAAGATCTATGTGTATGTGTCGTTTTATCGCAATCTGCTTTTAATAGAAAGTATTTACGACACTGTAGGACAAGTTCTCGCTGTAATGTGACGTCATTATAAGGTGTAACCTTTGATGATTATCAATAATCGATATATCATAATTGTACCTGTAGAATGTATAAACACCCCACATAAATAGTACTGCGATGTTTTACTCAAAACATGTTACGTAGGGTATAATTTGACTACCATTGTTGACTAGGTGATATAAAAGAGAGTAAATCACGCCTTCGACACGATCCGCTAAACAAACTGAAAAATCAACTAAATGCTTGTCATACAGAGAGGGTGACTTTGTATTTATTTGCGAAGCCAATGTGGGGTTAACAAAAAAACCGCCACAAAGACATGACAAAATGTCTTCCTCACAAAGGCTAACCCCACATTGGCTTTTTCTTAAAACTACTGAAAAAATAATTTTTTGTTCATTTTATGGTTTCTGTAACTGTAAGATATGTTTCTAATTTCATAAATAAATACAAAGTCATCCTCTCTGTAAGGATGGCCTTTTTCATTCATATTCATTGTTGTGTCGTTTCTTGTCGAAGTGTGCAAATACATAAATATACACTTAAATGGGCCTGAGAACATACTTAAGAAGGTACCACCTGTTCTATTTATGGACATTTTGTCACGATTTTGAAAGGGAATACTACAGACTTACGTAAGCAAATCTCCACTTACATCTGATGCCCTGTGCTTTGTGTACAAGCACACCTTCTTTCGTGATAAAGGAGTGCGATGGAACTTAACCAGAGATAGCTACAGTGACAAGTCAGGATAATAATATTTTGATTGACCAAGAGGAGATAGTCTTATTGGTGACGTCGACACACGACATATCGAAAGCGGGGCTAATAATCTGATCTAATAACCCGTTGCGATTATTACCTATATAGGGTATTAACATTACAGGTTTTGATATCCGACATTCTACTGAATTAGTCAACAGTTTGATTAGCTTAAGCTTGAACCTTGGATTGATTTAAATGATGTTCAAGTGTAGAGAGAGTAAGTATAAGATTATTTATATTACGTGTTTGTTATATGTGAATTCTTTTTGTATACCATAATTAGTTCTTGTGACCCCATCTTGTTTACAGATTGCGATGAAATATAACTGTGGCTTTATTGATTTTTTTTTCATTTTTTTCCTCTTTATATATAATACAAGGCTTCATTTTATATCAACACTCATTTATTTGAAAAAGTCACCTGAAATTAAATAAACAAGAAGTCTCCACCTCTGTTTCTTGATTATCTAGTATCGAGCTTTTAGTTAATCATGGTGTATGTTGTTAATCCTTCTATTACGTCACTTCCTTCGATTCCTTCTGTCGACGTCATTGAAATTGTTAAGTGAAAACAATACGTCACTAGATATCCTTGTGTAATATCATGACTGTTATGGTTCCGGTTTTAGATTCACCGAAGCGGTGTCCAAATACATCTCCGAAACCAAGGTATGTTTCACAACTTCACTGTGAATGTAAACACGATTATATTTAATCCACCATTTAAACAAACCTTTCCTCCTTTGATTATCATTATATTTATACCTTTCCATTCATGCTGTCTGCGGGGAAGCGTAAAAATTCGTGTAAGTTTAACTGTTTACAGGCGTTGTACAATGTCAAGATCCTTTTCCAAATGAAACGTGTTCTCTTTTTGGAGTTAAACCAGTTATTTAATGCAATACTCGGTTTAGATTCCGAGTTTCAAATTTAAAATGTGCCCTGCGTAAGTGTCTTTATGAAATACATACGTCAGTGTTAAGAATTCATAATTCGATATATTTTTTCTTTTTGTCATAAGTTTGAATGAACAACAACCTACACCTGAAACAGATGAAAACACATCAGTTATCGCCCTTGCTGTGGTAGCGGCGATTGCAGTCCTAGTATTAATTGTCCTCGTTGGAATGATTGTTTTTCGACGTATTAGGTACGATAAGCGATTCTGTATGAAATAAGAGGGGGATATTTTTGCACAAAGAACGTAATTCTGTAGGCAATGAAAGTTAGCAGTTCTGTAGGCAATGAAAGTGGGCAGTTCTGTAGGCAATGAAAGTAAGCAGTTCTGTATGTAATGAAAGTAAGCAGTTCTGTTTGCATTGACAGCAAGCAATTCTGTAGGCAATGAAAGTGGGCAGTTCTGTATGTAATGAAAGTTAGCAGTTCTGTAGGCAATGAAAGTTAGTAATTCTGTAGGCAATGAATGTTAGCAGTTCTGTATGTAATGAAAGTTAGCAGTTCTGTAGGCAATGAAAGTTAGCAGTTCTGTAGGCAATGAAAGTTAGCAGTTCTGTATGTAATGAAAGTTAGCAGTTCTGAATGTAATGAAAGTTAGCAATTCTGTAGGCAATAAATGTTAGCAGTTCTGTATTTAATGAAAGTTAGCAGTTCTGTAGGCAATGAAAGTTAGCAGTTCTGTAGGCAATGAAAGTAAGCGATTCTGTATGTAATGAAAGTTAGCATTTCTGTAGGCAATGAATGTTAGCAGTTCTGTAGGCAATGGATGTTAGCAGTTCTGTAGGCAATGAAAGTCAGCAGTTCTCTAGGCAATGAAAGTTAGCAGTTCTGTAGGCAATGAAAGTAAGCAATTCTATATGTAATGAAAGTTAGCGGTTCTGTAGGTAATGAAAGTTAGCAGTTCTGTTTGCATTGAAAGCAAGCCGTTCTGTAGGCAATGAAAGTCAGCAGTTCTGTAGGCAATGAAAGTTAGCAGTTCTGTAGGCAATGAAAGTTAGCAGTTTTGTAGGCAATGAAAGTAAGCAATTCTGTATGTAATGAAAGTTAGCAGTTCTGAATGTAATGAAAGTTAGCAATTCTGTAGGCAATGAAAGTTAGCAGTTCTGAATGTAATGAAAGTTAGCAGTTCTGAGGCAATGAATGTTAGCAGTTCTGCAGGCAATGGATGACAGCAGTTCTGTAGGTAATGAAAGTTAGCAGTTCTGTATGTAATGAACGTTAGCAGTTCTGAACGTAATGAAAGTTAGCAATTCTGTAGGCAATGAATGTTAGCAGTTCTGTAGGCAATGAAAGTAAGCAATTCTATATGTAATGAAAGTTAGCAGTTCTGAATGTAATGAAAGCTAGCAGTTCTGTTTGCATTGACAGCAAGCAATTCTGTAGGCAATGAAAGTCAGCAGTTCTGTAGGCAATGAAAGTTAGCAGTTCTGTAGGCAATGAAAGTTAGCAGTTTTGTAGGCAATGAAAGTTAGCAGTTCTGCAGGCAATGAAAGTTAACAGTTCTGTAGGCAATGAAAGTAGGCAATTCTGTATGTAATGAAAGTTAGCGGTTCTGTAGGCAATGAAAGTAAGCAGTTCTGTATGTAATGAAAGTAAGCAGTTCTGTTTGCATTGAAAGCAAGCAATTCTGTAGGCAATGAAAGTGGGCAGTTCTGTATGTAATGAAAGTTAGCAGTTCTGAACGTAATGAAAGTTAGCAATTCTGTAGGCAATGAAAGTAAGCAATTCTGTATGTAATGAAAGTTAGCAGTTCTGAGGCAATGAATGTTAGCAGTTCTGTAGGCAATGGATGTTAGCAGTTCTGTAGGCAATGAAAGTTAGCAGTTCTGTAGGCAATGAAAGTTAACAGTTCTGTAGGCAATGAAAGTAGGCAATTCTATATGTAATGAAAGTTAGCGGTTCTGTAGGTAATGAAAGTTAGCAGTTCTATTTGCATTGAAAGCAAGCAGTTCTGTAGGCAATGAAAGTCAGCAGTTCTGTAGGCAATGAAAGTTAGCAGTTCTGTAGGCAATGAAAGTTAGCAGTTTTGTAGGCAATGAAAGTAAGCAATTCTGTATGTAATGAAAGTAAGCAGTTCTGTTTGCATTGAAAGCAAGCAGTTCTGTAGGCAATGAAAGTCAGCAGTTCTATAGGCAATGAATGTTAGCAATTCTATATGTAATGAAAGTTAGCAGTTCTGAATGTAATGAAAGCTAGCAGTTCTGTTTGCATTGACAGCAAGCAATTCTGTAGGCAATGAAAGTCAGCAGTTCTGTAGGCAATGAAAGTTAGCAGTTCTGTAGGCAATGAAAGTTAGCAGTTTTATAGGCAATGAAAGTAAGCAATTCTGTATGTAATGAAAGTTAGCAGTTCTGTAGGTAATGAAAGTTAGCAGTTCTGTAGGCAATGGATGTTAGCAGTTCTGTAGGCAATGAAAGTTAGCAGTTCTGTTTGCATTGAAAGCAAGCAATTCTGTAGGCAATGAATGTTAGCAGTTCTGTATGCAATGAATGTTAGCAGTTCTGTAGGCAATGAAAGTCGGCAATTCTGTATGTAATGAAAGTAAGCAATTCTGTAGGCAATGAAAGTCGGCAATTCTGTTTGCATTGAAAGCAAGCAATTCTGTAGGCAATGAAAGTGGGCAGTTCTGTATGTAATGAAAGTTAGCAGTTCTGAACGTAATGAAAGTTAGCAATTCTGTAGGCAATGAATGTTAGCAGTTCTGTAGGTAATGAAAGTTAGCAGTTCTGTAGGCAATGAAAGTTAGCAGTTCTGTATGTAATGAAAGTTAGCAGTTCTGTATGTAATGAAAGTTAGCAGTTCTGAACGTAATGAAAGTTAGCAATTCTGTTTGCATTGAAAGCAAGCAATTCTGTAGGCAATGAAAGTGGGCAGTTCTGTATGTAATGAAAGTTAGCAGTTCTGAACGTAATGAAAGTTAGCAATTCTGTAGGCAATGAATGTTAGCAGTTCTGTAGGTAATGAAAGTTAGCAGTTCTGTAGGCAATGAAAGTTAGCAGTTCTGTATGTAATGAAAGTTAGCAGTTCTGTATGTAATGAAAGTTAGCAGTTCTGAACGTAATGAAAGTTAGCAATTCTGTAGGCAATGAATGTCAGCAGTTTTGTATGTAATGAAAGTTAGCAGTTCTGTATGTAATGAAAGTTAGTAGTTCTGAATGTAATGAAAGTTAGCAATTCTGTAGGCAATGAATGTTAGCAGTTCTTTATGTAATGAAAGTTAGCAGTTCTGTAGGCAATGAAAGTTAGCAGTTCTGAACGTAATGAAAGTTAGCAATTCTGTAGGCAATGAATGTCAGCAGTTCTGTATGTAATGAAAGTTAGCAGTTCTGTATGTAATGAAAGTTAGTAGTTCTGAATGTAATGAAAGTTAGCAGTTCTGTAGGCAATGAAAGTTAGCAGTTTTGTAGGCAATGGAAGTAAGCAATTCTATATGTAATGAAAGTTAGCAGTTGTGAGGCAATGAATGTTAGCAGTTCTGTAGGCAATGGATGTTAGCAGTTCTGTAGGCAATGAAAGTTAGCAGTTCTGTATGTAATGAAAGTTAGCAGTTCTGAATGTAATGAAAGTTAGCAGTTCTGAGGCAATGAATGTTAGCAGTTCTGTAGGCAATGAAAGTAAGCAATTCTATATGTAATGAAAGTTAGCAGTTTTGAATGTAATGAAAGCTAGCAGTTCTGTTTACATTGACAGCAAGCAATTCTGTAGGCAATGAAAGTCAGCAGTTCTGTAGGCAATGAAAGTTAGCAGTTCTGTAGGCAATGAAAGTTAGCAGTTTTATAGGCAATGAAAGTAAGCAATTCTGTATGTAATGAAAGTTAGCAGTTCTGTAGGTAATGAAAGTTAGCAGTTCTGTAGGCAATGGATGTTAGCAGTTCTGTAGGCAATGAAAGTTAGCAGTTCTGTTTGCATTGAAAGCAAGCAATTCTGTAGGCAATGAAAGTCAGCAGTTCTGTAGGCAATGAAAGTTAGCAGTTCTGTAGGCAATGAATGTTAGCAGTTCTGTATGCAATGCATGTTAGCAGTTCTGTAGGCAATGAATGTCGGCAATTCTGTATGTAATGAAAGTTAGCAGTTCTGTAGGCAATGAATGTGAGCAGTTCTGTATGAAATGAATGTTAGCAGTTCTGTAGGCAATGGATGTTAGCAGTTCTGTATGCAATGAATATTAGCAGTTCTGTAGGCAATGAATGTTAGCAGTTCTGTATGCAATGAATGTTAGCAGTTCTGTAGGCAATGAATGTTAGCAATTCTGTATGTAATGAAAGTAAGCAATTCTGTAGGCAATGAAATAGAAATACTATTCAGTCATTCTGTATGCAAAACAAATCAATGATTATTTATGCAACCATATATATCATTTTTTAATACTGACAATATCTTATCCATTGATGACCAATCATTTTGTTAAAAAATTTGTTTTAATATGATATGAACGGAATTCCGGGATAGTTGCATACATCAAATATTTTTCTCCATTCCGTTAAAGTGGTGGCAATATGATATGCATATCAATTTAATCAGAATTAGATACAATACAAAAATGCGGTAATCTGTTGGCTCCTTTTTCCTGAAAATCCATTTTAGTAAAGTTTGTTAAAAATTAGGTCACATAAATTCATAAATGAATAAGGATTAGAACAGTTTTCTTTGCTTACTGTGCCATTTTCTGGACTATGTGATGACCCTCCTTTTTGCGAGGAAATATAAAGACATAGATTGGGTCAATGATGCTCGACTTAATAGTATACAGGTAAAACTACAGATTTTTACAGAAATTAAAATTGATATATTTTGTTTTTATTTGTATGTTACCATAGGACACGGCGCCTCGAAAAGTCCAGTTCACAGGTGTGTACTAACGTATTGAGAAGCACATATTGAAACGTAGAGTCATATTATCTTATATAAACACTTGTCTACAATCTATGTCTTCTTTTGCTCTTTTATTTTGTTTTAAGAATGTCCATATTCACATTGAATATAATAAAGTATTAAGGATCGAGGATTTTGAGACAAAATGAACAAACGATATATGTATACGAATGCATTGAAGAAATTAGATAAGACTTGAGAATGATGATCATAGAGCTGAATTATGTTTCGTTATTTTCTTCCATATTGCGTCCTCCATTGTTTTGAATTTATGAGTTTGTATTATATTCCCAGCGACCGCCACAAATCCAAAATCGAGGTGATATTAAAGAGTGCTTGCCTTCAGTTACACATGATTCGGAGCAGCGCGTACGGAATCAGGAAGAAGCTTTGGGGGTTGATCATACGGAGAATATTTACAATAGTATAAAGGAGTATGATACTGAGATAAATCACGACTACGCACAAGCCGTGTTTACAGAAAGAAATACGGACGAAGATACGAAAGAGACAATCTCTACAGATCATACATACAAAAAGTTAGATGAGGTCCCGAATGGTGACTGCAGCAAGGGCTACTCACACGCGAGAATGTTTGGAAGCCTAGAGGATGATGACGTAAAGAAGGAAATCTCAGGGTTGGGCAGCTATGACTATGACAAGTTGTCTGATCGACTTAGCAACAAGGCTGTGTGTGAATCTGATATAGACTACGACCACGTAGGCAAAATAAAGGATGTTGAAGGGGAGGGCAACTATGATAAGTTGTCCGGTCGACCTGACAACAAGGCTGTGTGTGAGTCTGATATAGACTACGACCATGTGGGCAAAATAAAGGATGTTGAAGGGGAGGGCAACTATGATAAGTTGTCCGGTCGACCTGACAACAAGGCTGTGTGTGAGTCTGATATAGAATACGACCATGTGGGCAAAATAAAGGATGTTGAAGGGGAGGGCAACTAGTCCACGTTTGTGGACTGATCGAGAACACATTCGTATGAACAAAGGTGAAATACGCTCTAATGACGCGCTGTGTCAAAGTCATTTTCAAAACCCCTTGTCAATCTATTTTCCGAGGAAATGATATTGGTGTTATTACACAAATAAAGACAATCACATACCACTGTTTATTTTCAGGGGAATAGGAAACGATTGGCAGTGTCATGGAGAATTTGCATTGTCATTTTATCGTATTTATTATTGCAAGACTGTTACCGTAATCATATCTATATGATAAGATACACACTGAGACACATCTTTATACACAAATCCGTATACACACTCAGATACATCCATATCATGCAATAAGATCATCATCATTATCATCGTCATCATTATCATCATCATCATCATCATCATTATCATCATCATCATCATCATCATCATTATCATCATCATCATCATCATCATCATCATCATTATCATCATCATCATCATCGTCATCATAATCATCATCATCATCATCGTCGTCGTCGTCGTCGTCATGTTACATTTTCGTATACAAAAGAAAGATCAGTAGAATTTACAGAGATTTCCTGTCACCTTGCATGTCACGTTTTAATTCATTCAAACATTGGTACAGTTAAGAATATACACAGCTTCCGTGATTGAGGCCCAAAACAAAACAAAACAATGCATTATGTAGTATATAATTCATTGTTTGACTGTATTTTCTCTGATTTTAAAGTTGTATCGAAATGTGCTTTTCACCTGATTGTAATACCAATGAAAACCAAATAAATGAATCTTGAAATGAAAACTGATGTTATTGTGAGCGAAACACCCAAGTAAATGTTTGAGCTATGAACACATTGAACTCCAAGTCTCGCTGAGAAGCATACGATTGCTCAACGAGAGCATGAAGACGCTTTTGCTACAGACCTTCATCAATAGGTTGTTGGTTCAACAGTATATCCTCCAAATGACCAGCTGAACGCGTTAACATTAGAAAAAAAACATATCTAAACGACTTGATGACAAATAACTAAAATATGAAAAAAAAATGGAAATAATACTATTGAATAGTGTCAACCTGATCAAATGAAAAGACTCTATAATACGTTATGTACTTAGAAATGGCGTATACCGCGCAGGTATGAGTTACCTGATATTTTGACATTCACTGACTACGGTCATAAATATTACATGTTACATTTTTTTTAACTTTCCGGTTTTATTATCAACGTCCTCGTGAGACTTAAAAAATCAGGTATTTCCAACAGAAAAGTCACGTTGTTTGTAACAAAACTATGGTTCAGACAAAAACAGCGTCTGTCTATTCTATGTGTATTGCACAATCCATTCAATCTCTATAGTATACATCATTACCGACTCACGTAACCGTTAGTTTTCTACACAGACATGTTAGTAACATCAGGTATATCCTACAGACAGTCTACACTGACATGTTAGTAACATCAGGTATATCCTACAGACAGTCTACACTGACATGTTAGTAACATCAGGTATACATGTTAGTAACATCAGGTATACATGTTAGTAACATCAGGTATATCCTACAGACAGTCAACACTGACATGTTAGTAACATCAGGTATATCCTACAGACAGTCTACACAGACATGTTAGTAACATCAGGTATATCCTACAGACAGTCAACAAAGACATGTTAGTAACATCAGGTATTCACTACAGACAGTCTACACTGACATGTTAGTAACATCAGGTATATCCTACAGACAGTCTACACTGACATGTTAGTAACATCAGGTATACCCTACAGACAATCAACACTGACATGTTAGTAACATCAGGTATACCCTACAGACAGTCTACACTGACATGTTAGTAACATCAGGTATACCATACAGACAGTCTACACTGACATGTTAGTAACATCAGGTATACCCTACAGACAATCAACACTGACATGTTAGTAACATCAGGTATACCATACAGACAGTCTACACTGACATGTTAGTAACATCAGGTATACCCTACAGACAATCAACACTGACATGTTAGTAACATCAGGTATACCCTACAGACAGTCTACACTGACATGTTAGTAACATCAGGTATACCATACAGACAGTCTACACTGACATGTTAGTAACATCAGGTATATCCTACAGACAGTCAACACTGACATGTTAGTAACATCAGGTACACACTACAGTCTACACTGACATGTTAGTAATATCAGGTATATCCTACAGACAGTCTACACTGACATGTTAGTAACACCAGGTATATCCTACAGACATCTACACAGACATGTTAGTAACAGCGGGTATATCCTACAGGCAATGTACACAGACATGTTAGTAACATCAGGTATACACTACAGACAGCCTACACTGACATGTTAGTAACATCAGGTATACCATACAGATAGTCTACACTGACATGTTAGTAACATCAGGTATATCCTACAGACAGCCTACACTGACATGTTAGTAACATCAGGTATACCCTACAGACATATACACTGAAATGTTAGTAACATCAGGTATATCCTACTGATAGTCCACACTGACATGTTAGTAACATCAGGTATACTATACGGACAGTCTACACTGACATGTTAGTAACATCAGGTATATCCTACAGACAGACTACACAGACATGTTAGTAACATCAGGTATATCCTACAGACAGTCTACACTAACATGTTAGTAACATCAGGTATACCCTACAAACAGTCTACACAATCAATTTAGTAACATCAGGTATATCCTACAGACAGTCAACACAGACATGTTAGTAACATCAGGTATACCCTACAGATAGTCTACACTGGCATGTTAGTAACATCAGGTATATCCTACAAACATCTACACAGACATGTTAGTAACATCAGGTATACCCTACAAACAGTCTACACAATCAATTTAGTAACATCAGGTATATCCTACAGACAGTCAACACAGACATGTTAGTAACATCAGGTATACCCTACAGATAGTCTACACTGGCATGTTAGTAACATCAGGTATATCCTACAAACATCTACACAGACATGTTAGTAACATCAGGTATACCCTACAAACAGTCTACACTGACATGTTAGTAACATCAGGTATACCCTACAGACAGTCTACACAGACATGTTAGTAACATCAGGTATACCCTACAGACAGTCTACACTGACATGTTAGTAACATCAGGTATACCCTACAGACAGTCTACACTGACATGTTAGTAACATCAGGTATATCCGACAGACAGTCAACACAGACATGTTAGTAACATCAGGTATACACTACAGACATCTTATTTGCAGTTCTTTGCTATTTAAGTTCACCATCTCACAATTATTTACTTCGTCACTCTCCGTCACGGTAGATGTAATCGGGAAGTCTTTAATGACCTATTTAATCTTCCGCCTTACCACTGTAGTAGTGACTGTTAAAAGGACCTCCTGGCATTATCTCTCGTCGGATCGATTTGAAAGTGAACATTGAGAACATTACTTGTAAGTATATTAGTTTATTACTTAAAGTGTTTGTGGACAGATTTGTTATTAACTGGGAGATCACATTACGTCCTTATTTACTTAATAGAACTGATTAATTTTTTATCATATATGTTTACCTTATAGAAAATATCCATACGAAACTGATTACTTCCGTGTATGGATTGAGAAGTTTTATAACCTGAGTCATGTGTTCATCTGGTTTAAGAAAAAAATATGGGTAGTTAGATCAATTTGACAACCATGAACTATCCAATTATGTTTTCGGATTTTGACACGGAAGTTAATACCACTGAAAATTTCCATAAGCTTTCATTGTATATGACCTACATTTTTATGTAAACAGTGTCGATTATTCCTAGCTCTGTATGTAGGTTATGGAAATGAATGTGACAATAAAGATGGACTTTTCGGTGTCAAACATCATCTAATCATTTTACTGCCATGTCATGTAAAGCCTGTTTTGAAGGCACTGTCCTAAACCATTTTATACATCATGTTTTTGACACTCGATAAAATGTTTGTTTGTGTCACTTTCACTTTTTCGGTTCTTAAATTGAGAACGTGCCATAAGTACATGTCTTTCATGTCCAACGTAATCTCAACTCGGACTACCGTCTTGTGATTTCACTGGAGACTGCAAGGAGTTTTTTTTATGTTTTGTGTTGAATGTATTCACCTGCGTCTTTGAGAGTTTGTTTGATAAGTTACCCTAGGGCTTCGATACCACTCTCCTTTAAGTATATCTGTGAGTATATTAGACTTGTGTTAGAATGTATGTACCATTCGCATGCTCTTATATTGATAGTTTGGATTTCTGCGTAATCTGGTGATAGGTTGACAGCATGTACCATCATTATACAATTACGTTATCAATTATACTGAAATAATATATAAATTATGTCTGAATAATAACTAAATATCTTACCAATATCAAAATAATGCCCAAATAATATCCTAATAATAACGCCATGTTTAATTCCATGTATAAATTAATTAATCTATTGATATTTCTTCAAACGGATATTCATTAAATAAATGTATACTATTCGTACAGATTTCCAGTTCCTGGTGAGAAGATGTCATGTGCAATTTGTAAGTTGACAATTTTAACACATTTAACAGATTAGGGTATAATATTAGATCTTCGTCATTTTGATGCTTGTTTTCCTGTTGTGAACTTGAAACGAGACATCAGGTAAGTATCAGACACATACTATCTTATGAATTTAAAGCTGTATATAATGTATAATTACATCGTATTTATGTATTTTAGGAGAGTTCGTTACTGATGCTTGGTAGCTACTTTAATAGCAATTAACTGAGGGGGAATTTGTTAATAACTTAACCAGCATCCACCCCTTAACTAAGGACAAAATGCGGAATATTCCACGCAAGTATGCTGTTTACGATTGAATTCCGGATGAATCCGTGGTCCGTTTTCTGTTCCGTATTACAAATTAGACTTAAGATAATTATCAGGATGTTTTAATCATCTAGATGATCTGAAGACTCAATTTGTGTGTTCCGGACCCCTCATATTTACTCCGTCAGATGGAATCTATCGTTTGAGCTGTACAACGACGGAAGAAAACAACACGGAACACGATTGTGTTTGTTCAGCTACACAGGATTTCACTATAGAAACTTGTGGACGAGGTAGGGTATGCTTCTTACCGAAGCATAGATCACATTATATTAATAATCGTGGAAAATAATGCACATAAGACACATAGTGATACCACCTTTTAAAACAATTTTAGATTTACCAAGAATTTAGATTTAAAGCAAACTGATTTGACTCGGATTATTACAGGAAGAAACCATACAATGACATATTTTCTGATACCTTAACATGAAATGTGTCTTTTATAACCTTGTCAATTGGTTGTGTTATAATTTTAAACATTATATTTGTTGTTCTCTAAATCACATTTAAGTCATTTGACTCTGAACGTTGACGGTGTCACCTTCTTCTCATGTTTCTCATCCCACAGGACAAACAAGTCAATGTCCTGCTAGCTATAGACATGACGAAAAACAATGCAAAATAGCATGGAAAGGACAACACGCAGACGCTGTAGATGTCCTACCATTCTCCTGTCAGGCCGTGTTAGTCTCTCAAGAATGTAAAACTATATGTAAACGGAGGCAGGTTGACGAAAGATACGAAGTAACATGCCAGAATACAGTTACTTGTAGTGCATCACGTGGTGAGATTTTTTTTGTTTTTTTTTTTTTTTTTATTTTTTTTTGTTCTTTTTTATTTTGGCTTATTTTGTTTTTGTCTTTTGTTATTATCATTTATTTTGTTGAGTCTGAAGTAAAACATTTTGAAATTTGGTCATATTCGTTACAGATCAAGGCCCGAAGTCTGGAAACAAATGCAGTTCCTTAACAAGGTATCACTATCTGTATACTCTCTAATACTTAAGACATGCATCAGGTTTGTTATAACACCAAGGTGATCAGGAGAAGTTTCTACCCTACAAGGCAGAAAATATCATTGTGATCGCTGCGTTATTGAGCTATATATGATCCTTTAATACTGTTTCTCATTCTGGATCAGTGTACATTCAATAAGAAACCTATATTTAAAAACCAGGACAATAAATACCGATATCTATTTATAATACATTTTCCAAAACGGTGCCACGCGTGTTGAAGAAGACAGAAAAACAATGACATTTTTGGAATATCTTTAGACAGAATATACAACTTCCCAAACATTAGTAACATAAGTGATGCCGTACGTGTTGAAAAGAGTCAGTTATTCGCTCTGGTGTCTCTTATTTCTAGTTGCCATTCTCGCTGAGCATAAATTCAGACGCCATGGTATGTTTTGTTGTTGTTTACACTGTGGTACATAAAACATCACGTTTCACCACTTTGGCATATTTTGATATTTTGACATTACATGCTACTGTATAAGTAGTTTTTTTCATTCAGTTTTTTTTTTTTTTAATTTTTGATTCTACAAAAGAATATGTTCTTAGAGCGATTTACAAACTTTTTTGACTGACATGTAACTTACATTGATTTATTTTTAGTCGCTTGCGATCAATGAATTAGAAAACTTGTAAACTGTATGTCAAATGATATAATGTCACTATGAAATAACCATTTTCTTTCTCTCTTTCCTCAGTGATGTTATTACTTCAACTCAGAAAGTCATAACTGGAACAAGCACAGGAAACCACAATGCCAGTAATGGAAACACAGTTATCGCCCTTGGTGTAGTAACAGGCCTAGTTGTCGTTGCACTGGTTATCTCCCTTGTCCTATTGTATATACAACAACGTCGTAAGAGGCAGGTAGTAAATGCAGTTTGTCTTATGTCAGGTTTATGTAGTAATTTATCCTTTATATTAATGATGGTATTCATCATTTATCTTTTTTTCAAGACACGAGGTTGAATAAATGCTGTCCTATTCATCCCCTCTGTATAGTTTTTTGATTTCGATGACTGATATTAAATAAAATTATATATGGATAATTTAGAAGACTTAAACGTACATTCAGAATCTTAACATTAGCCAGTCTGGATATGATACCTTTCTTGGTAAAGACTTACATTTATTGCGCGGTATTGTAGTTTAAACATGATATTGAAACAGATGATGTTCGTTTTTTTGAGCAGAAGAAGCACGCCCCAAACCATTGACTACATGGACATGAATATTGGAGAAGTGGGAAGTACCACATATGACGTAAGAACATGCATGGAAAAATGTTATATTGTTTCTGAAACACGTGAATACAACCAAAACAAATAATAAAGTTCATGTGTAGTGAAAAAATCGGATTTGGTTATTACCAAATCACATAACAAAACCTTTTAATATCTCATTCTTTACATCTATTGTTTTCCCAGTAACGAGATATTACTAAGTGAAATAAAGTTGGTGGCTTAAATCAAAACATGTCTCTGAGGCTCAAAATGGCCTTTTACAGACAGGTGACCTTTTTATAAAGGTGACCTTTACAGACAAGTGACCTTTTCATAAAGGTGGCCTTTACAGACAAGTGACCTTTTCATAAAGGTGGCCTTTACAGACAAGTAACCTTTTCATAAAGGTGGCCTTTACAGACAAGTAACATTTTTCATAAAGGTGGCCTTTACAGACAAGTAACATTTTTCATAAAGGTGGCCTTTACAGACAAGTGACCTTTTTATATATAAAGGTGGCCTTTCAGACCGGTGGCCTTTTTATAAAGGTGACTTGACTGTATATTGCCACCGTTTTATCCAATTTGAGGTCAGATTTTAGATTACATGAATGTCTTGATTTTCTTTGGTGTTTAACTTGTATTTATGACATGTGTACAATAGTAGCCTGAAATCCATTTCAATTCCATTTGTAGTCCCCGGCAGGCATTTCCAACCAGTACGAACGCTTGGGAAGAGAACATTTGCATGCAAATGATCGTAAGTCGGGGCTGTACCTGGACCTTGACAACAAAACAGTAGAGGAAACAGATCAGGTCAAACATTCAGCACGGGACTCAGAAGAAATGGACAGTGTCTACAATACTATAGACGAACAGGTGCCAACTGGTCACGGAGACGATAACGTTAATCAGACCAAACTTCCCTCAGATTCTGGTGATATCAACACAGCCACTGCGAACTATTTCATCCTTGAAAAACACGAAGAAGAAAAGACTTCGGAAACAGCTGAGGTTCTAACAGAAGATCCGAACCCGACAGAGGATTATTTCGTTCTCGATAAGGATGAGAACCAAGCGAAATCAGAGCCCACCGACAATCACCCCGACAGCGGAATAACTGTGGTAAATAGATCGGATAATTATTCTATTTCAGAAGAGCAACAAAGCCCAGAGAATCAAACAAGTGACAATTATTTCTTGCTCGAGGAAGAAAACAACGGAAACTTGAAGGAAGATGCCCCGGACGATGATAAATATGATGTATTGAACAAAGATACAAATGATGAAACGTCCGAATACTATTCCCATGCTAAAACTGTCGAAAGTTCACAAGAGAGCACATCCAGGGACGAAAATCTACACGAGAACAACGAGAACTATGACAAGATGTTTCAACGACCAAACAGTAACGTGATACACGATTCTGATAGTGACTACGACCACATGAACAATGATGACCTTTTGACCTCACTTTAGTGAATGAAATATGTCATAAACAGTTGTTCTCTTTAGTCACACTATGCGGTTCAATTAACTGTAGGAGTTATCTCCCATTTCTTCATCAGATAATTGATATCACACTGTATGTGTGGTGTTATAATTCACATATGCATTAAGCTTTAATAATATAGAATATCAATCATTAATATTTTCATTACCCTATCATACCAAATGACAAGGATTTAAAATCTTAAAGCTTGCATTCATTCATTTATTTTATTTTTCATTTATTTTCATAACAAATACATTGATATAATATTATCATTGGTGACCGGTTTTCCTTGGTTGTTTTCTACTTACTACATTTAAAAATATATATTCCCCAACATTGTTGTAACATCTATATTTAATATCTGCATTTAATAGAGAATTTGAGAGCTTTTTAATTTAGAACGACATACATATTATTTGTAGTTTTGAATCATTACCCTATATTAATTTACTGTTAAATTTGACTTTTTTGTGTTTACCTTTAACTGCTTTTGTTTATTAAGCATGTATCGGTGTTTTCTTCTTCTTTTTGTAACTTGTTCTCATTTAGGAACATGACATTACATAATTAGATTGACCAAGATTTATACAGCGGTTGTCGTCGATGAAGCAAAAGACGCTTACCCTTCCGGGTCACCTTATACTGCATTATCAGTGAAAAAGAACAATCCTAGCGTGTACGTTCTGTTCAAAATCATTACGCATTTATATCGTGTTTGATATTTAATATTTAAATTCAAAGCCTTCAATTTTAGCATTCACCATAACATAAAAAAAGTTTTTGTCTCTTTATCACCTTTCATGGACTTCACAGTCAAACCATAAACAAATCCAAAATGAGAATCGATTATCAAATATTTTCTGATAACCGATATCACGTAACAATTTTTGGTGATTCTCTTTTCAAAATATTTCTTGAACTACCACAGACATTTGGTATCATTTACAATTGTTTATCTAACACGGCTTCATTTTTAATTTTGTCAACCTCTATTATCTGAGTGAGATGATATAACACTTATTATAATATATCAGTTCCATAACCAAACTTAAGTCAAACTCTGATAGTTGCTTTGGTATTAGTGAGTTAAAAACCAAAAGCGTGATCGATCTTTTTTCTCGTCAGGAATTTTAATTCTAATACATTTATGTATTCATTGTCTACTTATTGGATGAACACGTCGATGAAAGTCTGTAATGTTTTATTATCGTTTTGATTAGAAATATAAAGTAACTTATATGTAATTACCTGGTGGCATTGCCTGTTCATGATTTTTGTGAAGTATAACTATTTAATACACATGTATATTCTGCGGTATGAAATAGATCTGTTTTCCGATAGATAAGCGATGTAATTCCTATTCATTGTTATCAGATTATATTTGTATAATTCTGTTTCTAAATTTTCAATGTTATCAGCAGATGAAATAAAGTTCTTTTTATGTTATCAAATTTTGGTTTTATAATTGTTTCTTAATTTTCAATGTTGTTAGCAGATGAAATAAAGTTCTGTTTTTTTTGTTTTTTTTGTTTTTTTTTTTTTTTTTTTTTTTTTTTTTTTGCTTTTTTTTTATCGGTTTATATCCGATAAAAATTAATGTCCTTTCGACAAATTTTTATGTTCGAACTACACGGAATGTAAAACATATTTATTCTCAGTGAAATTAATGACTGCCAACGTCAGTGTGTACAATTAAAGACGTTAAACATCGTACAAAAAACAACCTCTACACCATTTCCCGCTGTTCCTCCAACTCCACGACGTCCAAAAATCTCAGTTACAAATAAACGCTGTAACAACGGTATAGAGATGATCTAAGACTTACTTGTCTTTCGTCATGTTCTTATTTTACATCTTTTAAAATATGGTCCAGCTGGACAACAGTAACTGGTAAACATCCAACATGGTAAGTAAAGAGAGATTTTATAAAGAGTATAAAATATGCTGAAATTCGTCCATAAATTGAAATGTTAATTTCAAGATACTTGTCTATTTCATTGATTACTGTGTAAGAGGGCGGGTGAAACGAGAACATGCCGCGATGAATTCGCGTTCAGAGTATGTTTAACCTTTTCATTCTATCATTCTTAAATATGATTAGCAGCTTGGAATTTAAGTCGAAATAAAACACAAGTCTGTGATCCTTAATGTTGAATCTGCATCAGTAGATGTATATGATATATATGGTATTGTGCCTGTGCATAAGAAATCCAATAACTTGATCCTTGTCTGCAGACATATTACATTTCCCGCATATTAAAAGACTAGGCTTGCGCGAAAAAGAAGGAAACTCCACCTTCATATTACCCACTATTAATTTCAATTACCAATTATTACAATAATTTAGATTCCCTGTTACTGATTTATATCCCAAACCCGTTATTTATCAAAATTTCTTACTCCACGTACGTATTTACCATTCCTGGTAATATCAAATCAGAGTAACAAAGAAAATATTATAATAATCATAACCAAAATTAAGATTCAAGAAAATTTAGGGCAATACATTATCCCAAAAAAAGATTCATTCGAAGACTTGTTTGCTTTAGACGTGGAGTTAATGGTTTTTAAATTTTAAGAACTCCAAAGAGATTTTGACGAAAGTTTCAACACCCACTTCAGAAAACAGTATTGTTTCTATAGAAACTATCGATTTGTGCAAGCTGCACATTACTATAATCCATCCGACACATAAGTGTGGCACCTTGTAATACAGGTTTTAGTTATTTTAGTTGTCTTTTATTCGTGTCCGTTTGCGCAAGCATAGGCTACTTTCGTTTTGTCAAATATATATATATAGTAGGCCCGGAACCTTTCTCTCCTTTATAACTTTTGATTTTGGGCTCGAACTGGAAAGACATGTTTTTTTCTCATCTTACATTACCTTAATGTCCGTCGTGCCATACACGGGGGATTTCGAAAGCTATGAGTGTACAATGAATAAATATGGAATGACATCGTCTCGTTCAATTGGTTATTGAAGAAAAGAAACCCCTAACTTCCGACTGTGCTACATTGGCGCCCATGTATGATTAAATTCGAACCAGCCCGCCCTGCTAGACCGGGAGTCAACATAAACCATGTGTGATCAACGATTGTATACTATGTTTACCTGTGCAGCAGTGTTCCTTGTTCCCGAGAGACAACTTGGATTCCGGAACTTGTGTCATGTGTGCGCACTGTAAGTGACATTATATTGATCAGCTGATATTCAGTAGTTACTGTAACTGTTCCATTCATTTACGTGTGTTACAATTGCACGGACTCATACGTACGCGTGATCGTCTATAAAGAGGAAGAGAGGTTCATAGACTTTTACATTTATTAAATTGATCTGTGATTTTCTCGAATAATTATCTTGTAATTATTTTAACTGTGATACTTGTTTACATTTTGTAGTCATTCCGAGTTGATATTAACTTTGTTTGAATTATTGTGTAAAATATATGTATACTATTTAATTTCTGGTTGATATTTTGTGTAACCTTTATCCTTAAGGAACGCATTCATTCTCTATTTATGTGACCTTGCTTTTCAAGGTGAACGACGGTACCAATATATGGTAAGGAACTATACTAAAGCGTACATGTATTTCGAGAAAAATATGTCCAAGAAGAAATCACAGAAATACCCGAATATTTGGTTGAGTTTTGTGATAAGATATCACAACAGACTATTGACATACATTTAGGAACTAACTATGTCTTTCTCTCAATTGCTTATAAAAAAGTCATTAAAACCTTGCTGGGTCCTTTAATTTCACATTTAAGTATACTAACGGCGCATTGTCATTAAATAACATGAGATCAAATGTATGATAAGTTTGACGATTTTTAGTTTCCATATTCTGAATTTTCCATTATTGGATAGCAACCAACCCGCACCCCAATCTATATGTATATTTACATGTTGCAGTTGATACGATATTCAACGGTATGCTCCTGATATCGCGATTTCCGTGCAAGATGTTGGCAACTAAATCAAGCTTTTGAGAGATAAAGATTGATTGAGATTATGGAAAGAATTTACGATCGTCATAATTAGCTAAATGAGAAATACTTTTCATGCGATGTGAAGCTGGAGGTGTTTGATGTTCATTATTATGCCTGATGCTGCCGTTGTTGTTAACTTGGCTTTTCTCACTTGGATTGACCAAGATTTACAGGGCGACTGTCATCACTGTAGCAAAAGACGCTTACTCTTCCGGAACATATGACCTTCTTCTCCCTGTTCTTTTTCAGAAGCCTCCATGTAATCATGCCTTTTGTTCATATCTAGTCATAGTTCATTGAAGTTGAGTTTGAATTAAAATTATGTTAACAAACATGTTGTTTTCTTTTTTTGTTCGGTATGAACATTCACGATATAAAATATCTTCTGTATGTTGGTAGGGACAATCTATTGTCACAATATGACCCCAAATTAGGTATGTACAGTCAGTTTAAACCGAAGACACTGGCTGTGAAGACGCCTGCCTTCTTTTCGAAACTATCAATTTAAAACACCGAAGGAACCCATACAACAGTTCTGCTCTTTATTACACGAAACACACATGGCAAATTGATTATCGTATGCCTATTATATACAAACCTTTCTGTGTACCGGTTTGGTATCTGTCAGTTAGTTTACATAGCCCGCCGGACTGCAGGTATTCCTTTAAATACACCTTACCTATCACGGGGTGTTCGATACTTTATTAGGTAAAACCAACTCGATAAACACAAAACAGTCCCTACATACTAGTTACGTAACGAGGGACGCGCGATGGACGTACACTGAAGGTATAAATTATGGCGACCAAATCTAAGAGGGTAGCCAACAGACCCCGAGGCGGCGAGCAGCACTCTAAAGGTATCTATGTTAGGAGAGTATAACACTCTCAAAAACTTCCACAAGGAAAATATCGGTCAAGGTAATGTGTGAAATTCATGAGTCACCTTGTTGTTGTTTATGTGATACATTACAGCGTCTTTCTAATTAATTA